CTGAATAGATATGTGGGCACAGTTGGCAACGGGCTTTGTTGCAAGGATAGGTTCCTGAGTTAGTGGTTCTGTTGTGTGGTATGTGGTTGTTGATGAGTATTTGCTTCAGGTTGGGGGGCTGTCTGTAGGCAAGGACTGGCCTGTCTCCCAAGATTTGTGAGAGTGTTGGGTCATCCTTCAGGATAGGTTGTAGATCCTTAATAATGCGTTGGAGGGGTTTTAGTTGGGGGCTGAAGATGACAGCTAGTGGCGTTCTGTTATTTTCTTTGTTAGGCCTGTAACGCCCCTACTCTACTTGCGCTATATTGATGACATCTTCATCATCTGGACCCATGGAAAAGAAGCCCTTGAGGAATTCCACCATGATTTCAACAATTTCCATCCCACCATCAACCTCAGCCTGGTCCAGTCCACACGAGAGATCCACTTCCTGGACACTACAGTGCTAATAAACAATGGTCACATAAACACCACCCTATACCGGAAAACTACTGACTGCTATTCCTACCTACATGCCTCCAGCTTTCACCCTGACCACACCACATGATCCATTGTCTACAGCCAAGCTCTGCGATGTAACCGCATTTGCTCCAACCCCTCAGACAGAGACAAACACTTACAAGATCTCTATCAAGCATTCTTACAACTACAATACCCACCTGCGAAAGTGAAGAAACAGATTGATAGAGCCAGAAGAGTTCCCAGAAGTCACCTACTACAGGACAGGCCTAACAAAGAAAATAACAGAACGCCACTAGCCATCACCTTCAGCCCCCAACTAAAACCCCTCCAACGCATTATTAAGGATCTACAACCTATCCTGAAGGATGACCCAACACACTCTCAAATCTTGGGAGACAGGCCAGTCCTTGCCTACAGACAGCCCCCCAACCTGAAGCAAATACTCACCAGCAACCACATACCACACAACAGAACCACTAACTCAGGAACCTATCCTTGCAACAAAGCCCGTTGCCAACTGTGCCCACATATCTATTCAGGGGACACCATCACAGGGCCTAATAACATCAGCCACACTATCAGAGGCTCGTTCACCTGCACATCCACCAATGTGATATATGCCATCATGTGCCAGCAATGCCCCTCTGCCATGTACATGGGTCAAACTGGACAGTCTCTACGTAATAGACTAAATGGACACAAATCAGATGTCAAGAATTATAACATTCATAAACCAGTCGGAGAACACTTCAATCTCTCTGGTCACGCGATTACAGACATGAAAGTTGCGATATTACAACAAAAAAACTTCAAATCCAGACTCCAGCGAGAGACTGTTGAATTGGAATTCATTTGCAAATTGGATACAATTAACTTAGGCTTGAATAGAGACTGGGAGTGGCTAAGTCATTATGCAAGGTAACCTATTTCCCCTTGTTTTTTCCTACCCCCCTCCCCCAAGACGTTCTTGCTAAACCCTGGATTTGTGCTGGAAATGGCCCAACTTGATTATCATACACATTGTAAGGAGAGTGATCACTTTAGATAAGCTGTTACCAGCAGGAAAGTGGGGTGGGGGGAGAGAAAACCTTTTGTAGTGGTAAACACCCATTTTTTCATGCTTTGTGTGTATAAAAAGATCTTCTGTGCTTTCCACAGTATGCATCCGATGAAGTGAGCTGTAGCTCACGAAAGCTTATGCTCAAATAAATTGGTTAGTCTCTAAGGTGCCACAAGTACTCCTTTTCTTTTTTCATAGGTATGTGCTATGTGTTTAGAGGTATCTTATCCCTCTCTACATTATGTATTTTAACACTTTGTATTATGCTATATGGTTATTTTGTGACTCATAGCTTGTCTGATCCTTACTGTAAATAGTTTTTTGTACTGTTACCCAATAATTTTGTACCCGTATATTCCTGGCGTTTTTGAATGTGCACAAATTGGGCATCTATTATAACTTTTACCTTTGCAAAAGAGAAAATTACTTAGCTGTCTTGTTGCCCTTTGAAAATGGTAGTTAAACTAAAAAGGCTACAACTTTAATGTTGCACAATTAAAATCACAAGAATCAAGGAATGCAAAGATTAAGAACCTTACAGTAATGTTATCACAGCCCCCACTGCACGTTTTCTAGTCTACATTGTATAATAAGTCCCTACTCTGCAAGTAGATACACTCACACAGATCTCTTTACCTATGAGGAGCTCCATTGAAACTCTCCATGGATGCGAACAAAGCTCCATGCTTGTGCATCTACTTGCAGGACTGGGGCCATAAGCACTAATATATTAAGCCAATGGGGTAGAAGTTTTTAATTATGCAGCCTTACTGCTGCTTTAATGTCATGTTATGCATTTAATTTCCTGTTTTTTAAAGCTTGGGAGGAAAAACAAAATAGGAAATGCTAGGGGAAAATATAAAACCATGCAATTGCATACTTTACTTCTGCTGGTACAGGTACCTAGTGTTTTAATTATTGAAGTATGTTCTCTCATTCCCCATTAATATATGTGCATTTCACAGGGGCATGGTGCAGTGTTACATGAATAACCCTAGTATCTCCAGAATAACAGCTAGGGAGCAGCTTTTGCATCCACTCTTCTCTATGACCATGTAGCCAGTGCTTATTGCTTGGTGCCTTACCAACCAGAGGGCCGTGGAGACCTGTTCCCCAGGAAGAGGGGTTAGAAGACTCAATCCTCGTGCACCTCTTTCTGAGTTTCTGGACTCTAGAAGTCTCAATCCATTTCAGGGCACAAAGCCTGAGAGCCCAGAAACTTTAAACAATTTTTTTTGTTTTGTTTTAAACTGAGACAAAATGTGGAAAAGTTCACTCCAAAACAAAAATGTTTCAAAGAGTAAATTCTGAGCAACAGAGAACCATGTAGGCTTAGTTTAAACTTCAGTAAACATAAGTATAACAGTAATTACCAGCAGCCACTATAGGTTTATAGGAATGCCAAGTCAGCCGATGTATCCATCCTGCTGTTGAGATTTCAGTGAGTCAGAACTATGACTTGTGCATATTCCATCTTGCAATACACCATGAGATGGCTGGAGTGCCAGTGATGGAAGTCCAATGCCTAGCCTGATTGGTTTCAGCGTAAAGATTTTTTTTTTTTAAACTCTTGTGCTATGGCTGTGTGTGCGGCTAAGAAACAGTTCTTTCCCTCCATGATAGCATCTGCAGATTTATTTCAGATGGTAGATCATCTGGTAAATCTGGACTGTCTCAGCTCAGTAGCTGGTCTGAGTCCCTCCCATTGTAAGGAAATTGTTTTGCTCTTTTGTGGACAATATTGATCAGATCAGAGATGGCTTATCTGTTTCCAGGGTGACAAAACAAGCTCTTGAGGGAACAAGGGCCTTTTCTTCACTCCTGGAATTTCAGCCAGTAATGCTCCCTGAGGTACTAGAGACGTTGGGAGAATTTTGTCCCTCAGCCTTTGCTTTGGATCCATGTTCTTTCTGGCTGATGAAGGCCAGAGAGGAAATACTTACTTACGGAGATGGTCAGCGTCTCTCTTGGAGGAAGCATTAGCGCCACTTTTGCTTAAGAAGACATCACTGGCCACTGCAATCTTGCTAATTATCAACCAGTATCACATCTTTCCCTTTTTGATTAAGATTGTGCAGAAGGTTATGGTGAGACAGCTCTCACAGTATCTGGAAGACTTTGACCTCCTTGACCCTTTGTCAATCTGGCTATAGACCTGGCTATGGCACAGAGACTGAATTGATCACACTGGTGGCTGATCTCCTTCTTGTTAGGGATGAAGACCAATGTCAGTGGTATTAGATCTGCATCAGCTGCCTTTGATCAGTGGCCTTGTTCTTTACTCTCAGAAACCCCTATTACAACAGATCTTAATGGGTATTTGTGTGCAATTGCTTGTCTTCTTGGAAGAGTTCTCAAGGATGGGGTGTTGCAGGTTGCCACTGTGTCATCCCTTCTGTTCAACATCTATTTGGGACCCTTAGAAGGGTTAATAAGGAGCCATGGGGGTTTAGTGTTTTCAGTATGCTGATGACACCAGTCTATAGGTCTCTGTCTCATCTGACTTGGATGATGGGTTCAGTGCCTCAGCCCATGTCTGGTTGAAATTGGGGCATAGATGAGAGCGACGTGGCTGAAGCTCAATTCAGACAAGACTGAGATGGTGATGATGGGTTGGGGGAAACAGCCAGAAGCGGTGGTGAAGGTGATATCAGGGATTATCACTGCCATTAGTTGTTAGTGTTCACAATTTAGGGTTATTTTAGACTCCCAGCTGCTGTTTGAGGATCGTATTTCAGCAGTGACTCAGTCAGCTTTTCCTCATCTGCATCTGAGTAAGTGGTTGCAACCTTTAATTTTGGATGCAAACCTCGCCACTGTTATCCCTGCTTTTGCAAGACCCGGCTATTGCAGTGCTCTCTACCTGGGGCCACTGTCCCAGGGTACAATCTAGACCGATGAACAGCTGTATCCCCTCAGCTCTCCAACCTGGGGTGCCTTTTACGCTGCTTTGCTGTGAGAGTTATCACTCCTGGTCTCCTCTCACATAGCCTCCGACAAGTAAGTTGCTCCCAGTTATAGTGTATGAGTGCTATAGCCAGCCACCCATGAATTACACTGCAGAGTAAAAAGAAAAGGAGTACTAGTGGCACCTTAGAGACTAACCAACTTATTTGAGCACGAGCTTTCGAAAGCTCGTGCTCAAATAAGTTGGTTAGTCTCTAAGGTGCCACTAGTACTCCTTTTCTTTTTGCGAATACAGACTAACACGGCTGCTACTCTGAAAACTGCAGAGTAACACCATCAAATTTCCAGCCCCAGACTTCCCCCCAGAAATGTACATTTTGTACCTCCCAGCTCTCTCCTAGACAATACAAGTTCATATAAAATCCGTCATTTTATTAATAGAAAATGATATGCACGAATCCTGCTATCCCAAAGGGAACTTCCCAAACACTTCAATCCAAACACATTGGTTTACATAAAATAAAACAAGTTTATTAATTACAAAAGATAGATTTTAAGTGATTACCAGTAATGAGGCATCAGAGTCAAAATTGGTTACAAGAAAATAAAAGTAAAACACAACTAATGCCTAATTTAACAAGCTAAGTGAACTCAAAGCAAAGGTCTCTCTCACCACATGTTACAGCAGTCTTACTGCCTGAATTCCTTTCAGTCAGGATTCTCCCCCAATCCAAAGTTGTTTCCTCTGTTCTTCAGGTGTTGTGGGTGCTGTGGGTAGAGAGAAAGGGAGGAATTATTTGGGGCGCCTACTCTATCCTCATAGTTCTTTCTCTTCTTCAAGAATCATCTCCAGCTCAGGTTCAGAAGACATAAAGTCTGTGTGGATGGGAACCCCCTCCTCTTTTTTTGTGAAATTACAGATTTTCACCCATGTCCTCTTTCCTGCCAAAAAATGGCCATTTAACAGGCGATGGTCCATTTGATTTTGTTGACACCTGGCTGAGGCATTGGCTAGCCTTTTGTCTCTGGGGAATGGTTTGTGGCTGTTTCCCCCAGACTGGAACATGTCTTAATAATACCATACAGTGGAATCTTATAACTTTACATGCAGTGTTGCCACACATATTTTACCAGGACATATGATCAGCAAATTACAAGTTTTCAAATGATACCTTACAAGGCATACGTTATACAAGATTTATCATAGTCCTGTAAAAGGGGTGAATATAGGGGTACAGACTGTCAAAGCCCCACCTTAAAACCATTCAGAGACTGAAGCTGGTGCAGAATGCAGCAGCTCAGTTACTGAGCAGGGCATCATACTGGGATCACATGACCTCAGAGCTCCAGGATATACACTTGCTGCCCATTGGTGGAGTTCAAAGTGTTGATTATGACCTATAAAGCCCTAAATGGCCTGGGATCGGCCTCCCTGAGGGGTTGTCTCTCTCGCCAGGCCATACTACCACTGCTGCAGTTAACAGGGTTACCTGAGCTGGATCCCCCTTGTTATAAAAGAGAGGGACAGCTGGAAGGACATTCTCTGTGAGGGCTCTGGGACTCTGGAACTTGTTCTCTCTCTATCCTCCCCGAACCTCTCTTACCCTCCTTTGGTCTGAAATATCCCGTTTGGTGATTATTTGGGCATGCTACAAAAGACATCTGTTTGATATGGTCTCTGGAGGTGGCTGAGGGTATGCTTCCCAGATGATGATTAAGGCAGGTGGTTGGCAGAGTTCCACTGGAACGGATTTTAATGTTGCTGAGATTTAATTCAATTGTATGTATTGTGTAATTAATTATGTGAGACAGCCTAGAGCCTTAGATAGGCATCTTTATTATTTGAATGTAAATAAACAAAAACAAATAAATGCAGCAGAGGAATGAAGTTCACAAGGTAGCAATATAACTGTGTTCATTCAGGAACCCAAAAATGCAGGTAAGTCATTTTTCCTTTTTGCTTGGCATTAGTTTTCATCTCCAATCCAAAACAGCCAAGTGAAGTGACAACTGGTGTCAAGCCTTTGGCTTTCATCTGAAGCAGCTGACCAAAACAACTTGGCAGTTTCCAAGCTACAACTGAACACACATTCAATTTAACTAAAAGAAAAAAAAGTGACAAATATTAGAACAAATGGGAAAAAAGCTCTTTTAAAAAAAAAAAAGTGACAGTGAACACAACAGGAACAGAGCTGGCCAACAGAGAGGCAGTCTAAGTTGTAAGCTCTGTTCAGTTATATCTTTTCACCATGAGCCATTTCTAACTACTTAGATTAAGATTTTTGTTTTAATTAAAAGGTGCTTAAAGTATTAAGGACCGTGCCAAGATAGCTTTATTGAAGCCTAAAGGGAAAACTGCCACAGCATAGAAAAAAATATTGCAGAAAAACTGAAGGGTGCCAATTCTGCCTGGGTGTTTGCTACATTAGGGGACTTTTTTTTCCTCCTTCAGTAACTCTGCCATAGGCCAGGTATGCATTCTTGGTTGGAATTTCATAAAAGCCAAGCATTGACTGCATGTGATTCTTTTAGCTAGCCAGCTAGTAAGCCATCCAGCTATCTTATGTCATCAGCATCACTTTGTGGTGCTACATGAATTACCCAACCATTTGCATGATTTGTGTACTGGCACCAAAATACAAAAGTTAATATGCAAAAGGCAAAATTTTATCACAAAAGCAGAACCAACTTTTGTTCACAGTACTGTACTTACATTCCATAGTCTTTTGTAGCACCAGGTACACCAATTAAATAAAAAACTATCCACAGCTGATATATTTCTGAGGCACTTAAAGTGCTTCCCTCATTAAAATTAGTCCCTGTTCTCTATGCGCAATAATGTAGCTCAATTTGTAGCCATTCTCCTCTGATATATCATCCTATAAATTGCAAAGTGAGCATGAAGCATAAAACGTTACCCAATAGAAGGCAGTACTATGCAAATGATGGGTGTAAATGATTATACAAAGAGGGTCAGGTCTATTGTCTGGTCTACTCTGATTTTTAGCATGGTTCAGGGAAGAACCATTAGGAGTAGTGGGATCAAGTTAGAGAAAGGAAAACTTAATCTAAACAGCTGAAAAAACCTTTAGGTCATGTGAGGTCTAGAAGACTCTGGCGTAGCCTCAGGAAGCACACCCCTTGAGCCAGGTTACACTAGATTGAATAAAACTAAAAATTGCTGCAATGGCAGGGGTTGGACAGTAGATGTCTTTCCTATTTCTAGTTTCTATCATTCTAGTGGTGTGTCTTACTGATGTCCCTCTGTCTCCTACCCACCTTCACTTGCCTCCATCTCTATTCCATGTTAGGTTTCAGAGTAACAGCCGTGTTAGTCTGTATTCGCAAAATGAAAAGGAGTACTTGTGGCACCTTAGAGACTAACCAATTTATTTGAGCATAAGCTTTCGTGAGCCACAGCTCACTTCATCGGATGCATACTGTGGAAAGCACAGAAGATCTTTTTATACACACAAAGCATGAAAAAATGGGTGTTTACCACTACAAAAGGTTTTCTCTCCCCCCACCCCACTCTCCTGCTGGTAATAGCTTATCTAAAGTGATCACCCTCCTTACAATGTGTATGATAATCAAGTTGGGCCATTTCCAACACAAATCCAGGTTTTCTCCCCCCCCCCTCCACAAACTCACTCTCCTGGGGGTGGGGGGTGGAAACCTGCATTTGTGTTGGAAATGGCCCACCTTGATTATCATACACATTGTAAGGAGAGTGATCACTTTAGATAAGCTATTACCAGCAGGAGAGTGGGGAGGGGGGAGAGAAAACCTTTTGTAGTGGTAAACACCCATTTTTTCATGCTTTGTGTGTATAAAAAGATCTTCTGTGCTTTCCACAGTATGCATCCGATGAAGTGAGCTGTGGCTCACGAAAGCTTATGCTCAAATAAATTGGTTAGTCTCTAAGGTGCCACAAGTACTCCTTTTCTTATTCCATGTTACTGTCTACTCTTCATTTTTTACTCCTGAGGTACTTCTCCGGGTGGTTTCAGTAGTCTTTACTTTCCCTGATAGACTTTCTAAGTTATTCTGGTTTATTTGTCAAACTCATCCTATTGGAATGCTTCATGATATTCAGTGATTTGTGTTGAAGTGTTTATCTGCAGATATTTTTACCTAGAGTTAACTATCAATTTGTTTACAAATGTGTAAACTGCCTCAAGTTAAGGCTAGGGTGGACACTTCCCAAATATTCAATCCAGGCTAGAGGTAGAATCTGATCCTGCAAACCATGTACGTATGTTCGTAACTTTATTCACAAATGAATATTTCCAGGATTACAAGAAGAAATAATTATTACAGTGAACTAAATGCCATGGTAGCCAAATGATTATAAATTGCAGGGTCTGAAGATACTTGTGAACATAACTTCCCCATCAGTAGTAAAAATTTAAATTTCATCTTTAATGTTTACAGTGCTGCCAGCTCTTGCAATTTTATTGTGAATCTTGCGATATTGGGTGTTTCTTTTTAAAGCCTTAGATCCTGGAGTCATATTATTTTGAAAGAAAGCTTAAATTTAAAAAAAGAGGGAAAAAAGGTGTGTTTCTTACCTTCATAGTTTGCAGAGAAAACCCAAGTGTGCCCTAAACGTTTAAAAAATAGAAGGCAAATAAAAAAAACATTGTTTTTGTTTTGTTAAATGTCATGAATTTTAAACCACTCATGATTTTTTGACACTTTGAGTTATCAATACAGTTGATATTTGCCAGGTATAATAAATATAGCTAAAGAAAAACTTCAAATGTGATGTTCCCTCAAAAATATAATTAATAAGAAAATCACTCTCATAAAACAGAAATTTTTTCCCCAGCCTGACTTTGATTTATTTTCTCCTTATACTTATGTGCATTGTGGTTACCTAAGACATTCTTCCATATTATGATATACTGAATTAGAGTTGGTTTACTTGTTTAAATTTGTGGGATTATTGTTTTCTCTCTCTTTTTTAGAAATTCTCCCTATATGTTTTTTCCCAAAATCATCCAGTCAGTCTTCCTTACAACATGCTCATTCATTACATTTACTAAATTTAGGAAATTGCTAAATCCATGTAAATCACTGGACAAATAATTTAATAAACATGTGAGTGTCATGGTTGTATTGATTTTTAGTTTATTGTATCTTACATAGGTAGTTCTGATGACCCTTTGGCTGACCTTTCAGAGGTCTTGAACACAGATGATGATATTCTTGGAATACTTTCTGATGATTTAGTAAAGTCTGGAGATCACTCAGGTATGAGCTTTTAACGGCTCCTTGGTGGCTGTTTTCTTTGTTCTCTTGATTATAGACACATTTCATGTGTTATGTTCACAGGTTATGTGATGTATGGCTTTGATATTTACATAACTGTTTTATCAATTTCAGAAGGACTTTTATCTCTTCTTTTACAAAAACCATAAACTCTTTAGTATTTTGTTTTATTCAGTCCTTTGCTTTGCTGCTTATAAAGGAATAAAAACAGCTGCTGATGTCTATCATACCTGCGTAGCTTTTTCAGCATGCAGCAGTGTATGCTCTTAGTTTATTTTTCTTTTTTTTTTCTCTTGTTATAATCATCCATTTTATCTGGTTTGGGTCCTGTAGGTCTTGATTTATGCACTTTCCAGGTTGAGAACTCACCCTCCCCATTTGGTAAGAAACTAAACAATGGATGACCCATGGTTAGAAGTAGTAATCTTTCTTAGTGGTTTCAGCTGAAAGAACTGTTTGTGCATGCATAGATGTTAGTGCATCATTACTCTGTGTAACTAATCCATGCTTTCATTTTTTGCTATCTTTCTGGTTTGTTTGAGCCAAGCACAATTTACAAAACCTGCACTATGCACTTGATAGACAGTTTTCTTTTGAATTTTTTGAATACATTTGCTATTTTTGTGTGTTTCACAATGCAAAACTATGCATTTCCTTGCTTTCTTTCATATTTGACAGTATTACACATAGTTGTATTAGTGATATATTTGTTTTTAATTTAAAAACACATCTTAATTATGCCTATGTATAAAGCATGAATAAAAAGATTGTCAGTCTTTTTTTAATCACTGGTGATGATTGATCACTTTTACATAAAACTTCTATATAAAAACACAGGTTTATGATAACTAGAAGAAGCAGGCTACATTATTTTAAAGGTGCTTCTTAGTTGGAATTTGGTGCTGCAATACCTTTCAAGTGCTAAAGTCACTTGTGTACAGTAGTACCAAGAGTCTGTTGCTTCTGAGATATTTTTCTTAACTTTTAAAAGGATATAATAAATGTCACAGAATAAGTAACAATTGTATTTTCTCAACACCCACAACTGTATTTTCTAATTTAATGCAGAATATTTTAGCCCTGTTTTGAAAGTAGAAGCTGCTGCCATTTTAATATAGGCCAGATATTTACTAGTGTGAACTGTATTTTAGTAGATATTTAATCTAACACTGGAGGATTCAGTGAGTTTTGGGGGATACTTAAGGTCAAAGGTAACTTCCAGTCAGGTTTAAAAGTACCTGCTGCAGGAAATTCCTGTTTTTAAAATAAACAAAATAAAAAGTTCTAAGAGAATTAAATGTTTGAAAACATCCTGTGGCTAAATTTAGAAGTCCCATTACAACAAAATTTGGTTCAAAGTCTTCTAATTCTAAGCATTTCATTAAATTAGATGCCTTCCTCAAACTATGCAGCAATCTAAATTGGATATTTTCTGTTTGTTATTGATGTCTTATTTTCCCTTGAACATCAACTTTTAGATTTTAGTAGATGGCTTTAGTTTACAACTAAACTGTAACCAAAAATCATTTTGGAAATGTTTTATGCCCTTTGTCCTGTGTCAGTAGATTTCCTTGTTTACGGCTGACTTAATATTCTTACCTCTTCAGCTGGACTAGATATTGGTCCCATCTCTGACGATCCTTCCTCTCTGCCTCAGCCAAGTGTCAATCAAAGTTCACGGCCCCTCAGTGAAGAACAATTAGATGGAATTCTCAGTCCAGAACTAGACAAAATGGTCACAGATGGTAAAATGTTTGTCTTACATCTTGACTTTGTAGAATACTTAAGCAAATGCTTCCTATTTTCTATTATAACTATGTAATTTGAAATTAGCCTTTGCAATTGTAATTACAGAATTAATTTTATTATGTTTTATCTAGGAGCATGAAATGAATTATTGCTAATTTTGTGTTATTTTTACTTTGCCCAGGTGCAATTCTTGGCAAACTGTACAAAATTCCAGGTATGTGCTCTTGAGCGTTGCTGTCTTTTTTATTAAATTTAGTTTATATAACCGAACCTGCCAAGTTATGCATATTATTTTTACAGAGCTGGGAGGAAAGGATGTGGAAGACTTGTTCACTGCTGTACTGAGTCCTGCAACCACTCAGCCAACTCCTTTGCCACAGCCTCCACCTCAGTTAATGCCTTTACACAATCAGGGTATGGTCTTCTGTTTCTTTTAAAAACAGGCTGTACAAAACCAATTATCTATCTTTCATAGTATAAATATGATGATAAACTATGCTAGGGTAAAAAGAAAAGGAGTACTTGTGGCACCTTAGAGACTAACCAATTTATTTGAGCATAAGCTTTCGTGAGCTACAGGTAAATACTCTATATGCTTTATTTCACAAATCATCTTGTAATTGAGTGTCTGATACATATGTGAATGGATTTTGATATCTGAGAGGAAAAGCTATCTTTTGTTAGACAGACTTTTTGTGGAATACTGGAGCTGTTCCACCGGGTGACTGTGGTATAGTACTGTAAGTGGTCTGCAATAAAGCAGGGCTCCTATTATGACATTTTGTCTCATTGCTTTGTCAGTACATCTAAGCACACTCTCACGGTGAAGAAGGAGCTAATCTGCCCCTTAATTGTAACATTTTTGTCTAAATGTGACAGTGCCATTCAGTCTAATTTCTGTAAAAAAGGTTAATTTAAGAAAATTGACTGGCACTATTCAAACAAGGAAGAGAGAACTAGCATAATTTTGCAATATTTACAATAACAAAAAATGCAAAACCAAATCAAATTTCTTGTTTCTCAAGCCATGATTCCAGAAGAAGGCTGGTTATCAGACTTACTTTATTTAGTTCTACCATCTTGGATAGATTTTTCTGAGAAAATGCTGGAATAAGTATCCTAGAATTCTAGGTTTTCACTCTGAGTGCCCCATCAATGGTATTTCATGAGCTGTTTACATGAGGGGTTCCCAGGCTTTGTTCCATGAGCCGCACCTGTGCAGCAGCATTATGCACTGCGGCCCACTATTAACACAGTTCTGTCAGGGAGAGTGGCACCATGGGGCGTGCATGGCCCCTCACCTCAGCAGGGACCAGGGCAAGCAAGAGGGTGAAAGGGCCAGGCAAGTGCCACAGCCTGCTCCTGCCGACACCCTCCACCTCAGCAGCCCGCTGAGTGCCTTGAGCTCATTACCTGGAAGCCATGCCCCAGTCACTCACCCAGCACCTTAGCATGCCTCACAGGCACCAGGGAGGAGCTCAGGGGTTCAAAGGGCTGGACAGAGGTAGCCGCTCAGGCTGGGCCTGGCTATTAACTGTGACAGTCCTGATCACAGCATTGTCCAGGAGGAAACAGAGCAGCACTGCTGAGCCCAGGTCCCTGGGAGGGCCGCGGAGCCGATACTCCAGGGGTCCTGATACCCACAGACCATGGGGTGTGCAGGCTCAGAGTGGGAACGGCAGCAAACCTTCAGCTGCCCTGAGTGCCACCACCTCTTGGCCGTCCCCATTTCCTCGCCCAGCATCTCTGCTTCACCCTCTGTCGCCTGCTGGGGATGCTGGGCTCCTCTGACCCTGGGTGAGGATCATCGCCAGCCGCGACTATGCCAATGTGTATAGTTTTGGGGGGAGCAACAGCCCCCTACCCTACCCTACCCTATCCTACCCTACCCCCAGTGGCAGACCACCCATCACTGTTGTGGCCCACTTGTAGGTCGGGGCACACAGTTTGGGAACCCATGTTTTACATAATATCCAGGTGCATAGTTAAAAGCACTCTTTTCTCATCAGCCATCATCTCTAGTAGAGTTGGCACTCGCTTAGGTGCAAGCAGAGAGCCCATTATGATGTATTTGTGCTTCAGAAATCTATTCTAGTGTCTAAATTGATTTCAGTAGTGAGTAATTCTAGAACCACCAGATATCTAAGAAAGGAAAAAATGATTTGTTTGTTAATGTGGATGAATTTCTAGAAAAATATAAGACTTCAAAAAGTTCTAAAAATGAGATAATTTAAAGCAAACGAGAGGTAATAGATTACATGGCCAGTTTGTTCCTACGTCATGTCTGCACTAATATTTTAATTGTACAAATAAAATGCTCTGCCCTAATAGTTGTGTAAAATTGCTAGACTGAATATTTTATTGAAATATTGAGGTACATTTGACTAGATTTATTTGTTTCATTGATAAGAGTCTTGAAATCATATGTTGGAAAACTTTACCCTGGTATACCAACTGTCTCTGAAGAGTCGATTCCTAGTTAAATGGTTAATATTTATTCAAGAATTGTAAAAGGAGATAGCGTGCGGTGCCTCTATGTTTGTTATCTGGCATCATGGATATGTTTTCCTTTTCTTTTTCTTGATGTAGCATTGGTTCTTCTTCAAGTAGTGTCCGTATGGGTGCTCCACTGTAGGTGTATCTGCCTCCCTGCGCTGCTGATTGTAGAACTTCGGTAGCAGTGTCCTTTGGGCCCGCACATGTGCTGTCTCTCCTCCTGGTGCGCCACGAGGCTAGCCAGCATGCACCAGCACGCCCCGTCCTCGGTTCACTGTCCTTGCTCGCTGTCCTCGGTTCCTTCTCAACTGCCCCTGGCTAGAGCTGGAGCCTTTAGCTGTCCGTTAGTAGATCGTTAACTCTCCTTTTCATTTGTTAATCTTTAGCTTTTAGAAACCCTTTAGCCTCCTTTTGACTTTTATTTGGCTGTGCCTTTAAAAAAAAGAAGAAGAAAGAAAAGGCTTTGTTCTTGTGTAGACCCTCAGTGGCGGGGGACCCCCTTGGACAAGGCTCTCCAGGCTTCAAGAAGTGTTGCACTTGCAGCGAGACGATCCCAGTCATGGACAAGCACTCCCAGTGCATTCGCTGCCTCAGCGAGAGCCACATCCAACAAAAATGTTCCCTCTGCAGCAAGGACAGAGGGAGCAGAGCAAGGACAGCTCCTCTGTTCCCTCTGCAGCAAGGACAGAGAGCTCTGCCAGTAAATCATCTTTATGGAGGCTGCTCTCTGACCCCTGCCCTCCGGCGGGCATGACTCTTCCCCATAACCTTCGACTTCAAAGGATAGTGGGTTGAAGAAACGGTCCAGGGACTCCTCTCACAAGTCGAAAAAGAGAGCGAGGAGTCCCCTCAGCGAGCGCAGGAATAGCCGAAAGCAGTCACCATCTCATTCAGTATCTTGGGCACCGCTGACACTAAGATCATCTAGCACCCACACCTCATGGTGACCCTCGGTGTCCGGTACCATTGTTAGGCCCACGGACCCTTTGGACATGGGCACCGAATCTTTGGTACCTAGAGACAAGGGCAAACACCCTAAGATGCTCCTGGTACATGAGCTGTCATCGGTATCGCCCATCCAGCACCGGAGAGATCAGTATGGACAAGGTCCCCATCTCCCCCAGCATTACCACTGACACCAGGATGCTCAGTACCAGCAGAATTCCATCAGGTCAGTGACCCCGCTATGTTGGAAATTCCTGACTCTCCGCCCCTCGGTGCTGAGATCACAGCACCAAGTCATGGCTGACCAAGGGGTATTTCCCCACAATCATGCTATGCCCCTCTGATGTCCAGTGATGGATCATACAGCGAGCTGGAAGGGGTTTCTCCATACTCCTCCTGAGCTCCTTATGGGACCCAATATCGACAGGGTCCAGGAATATACCACCAGATGGCACTGTCACCATCTTGGGTACTGTCACCCAGGAGCACCTCCATCAGGCCCTATGCCACCGCAGTGGTCATTCTGGGGCCCCTGTGCAGCGCACCAACAGCCTACTTCGAGGGCACTGAGCATTGTCCAAGAGTCTCCCAGTCATGCTCCCTCGGCTACAGCATCACAGGCCTCAGAACCCCAAGAAGTGGAGGAGCAAGAGGTGGACACAGAGGAGGAGGTCACACCCAAGGCCATATCCTCTTTCGCTGGATGAAGCAGTCGTGCTGTCACCACCTTCCATGATGGATGACTTCCGCTTGTTCCAAGAGCTGGCGAAGAGAGTCGTGGAAACCCTCCTCATACCATTGGAGGAGGTTAAAGATACGCACCACCAGCTTATCGACATCCTCCATGCTACATCTACCTCCATCAGACAGTGCTACCAGATTTGTAACATGAACGATCCATACACAGTCCAAAAGATCTATCTCATCGTCTGTCGTCTTCTTTAAGAATGTCCCCATCTCAGAGATCTGCAGAGCGGCAGTCCACAGTTTCACAGAACATTATGCAATCACTAGGGACTCTGCCTCTGATGTCATTTTTAGCTTCACAGTACTATAATCTGTGATTAAACCGACCACAAAGTCCCAGCCCTCCAAGGGGGGTACTGCTTGGATTCGCCCACAGTGGAGCACCCATAGGGACGCTATTCAAAGAAGAAGAAGAAATTACTCACCTTGTGCAGTAACGATGGTTCTTCGAGATGTGAGTCGCTGTGGCTGCTCCACTATATCTCCCTCCTCCCCTACTTTGGAGTTCGCACTATGATTCTGTGGTAGAGAAGGAGCTGAGCACGGTTAGCCCACGCGGCTTTCTATCCTCATGGTGCAGCACGAGGAGACTGTGCATGTGAGGGCCCAATGGACACTGCTACTGAAGTTCTCCGATCAGCAGCGCAGGGATGTAGATACACCTATAGTGGAGCACACATAGGGGGACACAAGATGAGTAACTTCATTGTCTGGCTGTAATCTGAGAGATCAGAAAATAGTAATAGCTGTTGCTGAAACACCAATTCATAATATTTGCTATGTCTCCTTTGGGGGAGAACTTTGAAGGCTAGAAATATCACAATGGTTGGCAGCCTGGGATACTGTAGAGCTGTCTGTGTGCCATGTTCTAGTCTTTGCCAGTTGCCAACCAGACAATCTCAGTTGCTACATTACAGCTGAAGGGGCTTAGCTTTTATTATTGTTATCTATTACAGTAGCACCCCTAGGTCCCAATAAGGACTGCGTCCCCACTGTGTTCCTTACCCTCATATCTGAACAACCACCAGTTACCTCTGTTGTAGAAGCAGGAGATCCTAGCTGCTGGTTGTAGGCCCCATGGATACCCAGTTGCCAGTAGTAAAAGAAAAATATGTTCAAATAACAAAGGATTTGGGGCCTGCTGTGCACCCATATATAGAAGAGTTGTGTGCACCTTTTGGTGAATTTTAGGTTGTTTTCCATTAATTCATTTCCAAGTATTTAATAATATATAACCAAGCAGTATTAACTGATATTCAAATCACTAACTAAGTAAAAATAAATGCTCAAAGTTGCTCTTCTATTTCCCCACCCCAAAAGATACATATATATAAGATGGAATAATACAACACAGTCTGGCCTGAGATATAAAATCAGTTAAGTTGGGAAATTCTCAGAGAATCCTTTGACTTGCCAAAATCATAAGAAACATGTACATGTACAAAGGACTCACTAAAGTTTATGGTGGTGGAGAATGATATATGTTCGTAAATCCTCTCCAAAAGGTTAAGGTTGGCACATAGGAACATATGACTGGAAGGGACCTCCTGGGTCATCGAGTCGAGTCCCCTCCTATCACAGACAGTCCCATCATTTAATCCTGTCAAATCATTTTATCAAGCTCCAGTTTAAAACTAGTTAGGCTGTTTCCTCCTACTACTGCTATTGGAAGTTGCACTAGAGCCTCACTCCTCTGAGGGTTAGAAACCTTCTAATTTACAGCATAAATGTATTCATGGTGAGCAACACAGAATGTACAGATAAGTAGTTTCTCATTAGACTAAAGGCCTGTTCTTCACCGAAGTTTGTCTTGAACACCTTGAAAGCCTTCAGACACTCATTCTTTACATTGATCATTTCAACTTTTGCCTTCCAGGGGAAAGTGTATTTTCAAGAGTGCCACTTATGAATGGCCTGATTGGACTTAACCCCCATCTCCCTCATACACCTTTGGCTCCTGGAGGTGGACTAGGCACTTTCTCTCCTATTACACAACCACCGTACAGTGATACCAGGTAAGTCAAGCTGAAGAATGTGGAATTACTCAACAGTGAGCCTAGCTTGAGTGGTATCTGTCAAGCATACTTGCCACTGCACACTTTAAATGTTTATTATTTGACAGAGACATTAAATACATTTTAAATACATTTTAAATACATTTTAAATGCTCTTTTAAATCTTTTCAAAAGACATGATACTAACTGCTGGAGTAGTTAACAGAGTATTTACAAAATAAATTTTCATATTATATTGAGAGGAAAATTAAACATCTTTTTTGATTTGTCAGGGATAAGAACCCAGCATTTAATCCAATAGTAAATGATCCTAACAGTTCATGGACACCATCTGCTCCCGCTATGGAAGGAGAAGGGGATACAATGTCCAATGCTCAAAGAAGCACTCTGAAGTGGGAAAAAGAAGAAGCACTAGGTGAAATGGCAACAGTAGCACCTGTGCTGTACACAAATATCAACTTCCCCAACCTAAAGGAAGAATTCCCAGGTAAGTGAATGATTTATTGTATAGGGGCACAAATTTTGTAACAGTTCTATTATGCACCTTTCTTCACCAAAGGATTAACTGTTTCTACTTCTAAAAATTGTCTGAAGTATAAAATCATCAAAATCCTGCAAACTAGAACAATATATTGGTTTTTGTTGCAGACTGGACTACAAGAGTGAAGCAGATTGCTAAACTGTGGAGAAAAGCAAGCTCACAAGAAAGAGCACCATATGTGGTAAAAATAACTAAAACTAGCATTTGTACACTTTGGGAGACATTTAATCTGCAGGGTGTTTGGTTTTAAAACTACTAAAAGTTCACTGGTTCCAGAAGATGCAGTTGTAAACCTCTGTAATTTTAGAACTTGTTTCTAAAGCTATTTTCTCAGCCATTCAGTCTTAATATAAACTACGTCCATTTATTTATTTATATTACCTAGAGGCCCCAGCCGAGATCAGTATGCTAGGTGTTGTACATACATGTAGTAAGAGAGATACTCTTCCCCAAAGAGCTTACAGTCCAAATGTCTGCTGATGGTTATTATTCGTGGACTACAGATGTGATTAACACTGTACCAACATAGAAAAAACCACAGTCCCCACCTCTAACAGCTTTCATTCTGAATAAGATAATTAAAACTACCAAGTGACTGAAGCTCAAAAGCCAGCTTTCCTGCTCTTACTGTAGTTTTCTTTACTTTATCACTTTTTAATATGTACCATCTCATCACTTTAAAAAGGGAGCAAAAATGCCATACCAATTTGAGGATTTTGTAAGAAGCTACAGGCATTAGTTCAGCTGCCATTATGGCTTTGAGGCTGTCATCCTTGACTGCTTTTTAAAATCTTTAAAAGGTTCATTTCTGCAAGGTGCAATATCCATTTGAGAACTGTAACATAAATCTGAAAAAAGCAACTGTCAGGATTTGATGCTCAGAAGGAGCCAGATTCAAAATGTCAGCCAGAAGCGACTCCCTGAAGCAGCCATTAAAAGTTTAAAAGCTCCAGTATTGCTTGAAAATGCTTATCTTAAGAGTTGTTATTGTGCAATCCAATTTTTCTTTGTCCTTAATCCTATGCTTGTACTGTTAGCCTGGGTCAGAGTGAGATGCATAGAGGCTGTTTAATGTAGTCCACTAGTGCATATGATTCTCCTGTAACGGAAGTTCTCCAGATGAGTCCAAATGAACCTCTGTTGATTCATCTTACCTGTGAGCCACCTGTTTTCTTCAGATCTTGGACCACACAAATATGAGATTTGATGTGTGTATTGATATATTTGAATTTCTTTATCCCTGTGCTGCATGTAAACAGAATCTCCTAACCTACATTTAAAGCCTCTATTGTTAATGATTCTTTTGCCCCCACATGGTTTGACATATACAAATCCCACACTGCAGCTTTGTCGAGACTATAAACTTGCAGTTAGTAGCTCTGGTTACAAGAGAGTAACCTAGTTTGTTCTTGATCGTGTGCGATTAAATCAGACCACATAAATAATTTGGTTGTAGATTTTGTAGGAAGAATGGGTAGATGCAGTACTTACACTTATCAAAAGAAAACAAGAAAAATTACTTGTATTTTTATTTTTTTCCTCAGCAAAAAGCCAGAGATAATAGAGCTGCTCTGCGCATCAATAAAGTGCAGATGTCAAATGACTCCATGAAAAGGCAGCAGCAACAGGATAGCATTGATCATAGCTCTCGAATCGACTCAGACCTCTTTAAAGATCCTTTAAAGCAGAGGGAATCGGAACATGAGCAGGAGTGGAAATTCAGACAGGTGTGTTATATTTGGTCGTTTATTATTGTGAGATTTTTTTTATTGGCAGTTGCTGTGCTTAATGGATTAAAATCAATTTTAATCTACCCAAGGAAGGAAATATAAATTCATAACATGCACTCTGCATAGAGTGAAGATTTTTGTCATAAGTAGAAAACGTATATAAAAATATTTGTGACTTATTTTTTCCGTTTCAGTTGATTCTTAACATAATTAATTATCTTTATTTCTGTGGCGCCAGCCAAGAGCAATGGCATATGCCCTTTTCTGTCATATGTCACAGAAAAGGCCCTCACCCTGGGGACTCTCACTTTAAATGAGACTGGCACTTTTCTTTTTCTCCAAAGCCCTTTACCTCTTGTCAATGAGGCTGCATCACTTCTTCAGTATGGATGGTTGGCAAGCAGCTTTATTCCTCTGGGAGTCTGGGAAATACTTTTCCCCAGTTGGTCAATGGGGAGCATGCCAATGTAATTTAGTTTCATAAATGACCAGGCATTCTGCCCCCACTGTACTTAAGCTTTTAAATTATTCTTAACTGATCTCATATGTCTCTAAAGATGCTAATTCATTGATGCTCAGTCATCAAAATGCCCTTGCTTATGTTCCCTGGACTAACAAATGTAACCTTTCCTCTTCCCATCTTAAACCAGCAAATGCGTCAGAAAAGTAAGCAGCAAGCCAAAATTGAAGCCACACAAAAACTTGAGCAAGTGAAAAATGAGCAGCAACAGCAGCAACAACAACAACAGTTCGGTTCACAACAGCTTCTGAACCAGTCTGGCTCAGACACACCTAGTAGTGGGATACAGAGCCCCTTAACACCTCAGACTGGCAATGGAAATATGTCCCCTGCTCAACAGACATTCCACAAAGACCTATTTACAAAACAACAACTACCTGGTACCCCTACTTCAGTATCCTCAGATGATGTGTTCCTCAAACCACAAGCTCCACCTCCACCCCCAACCTCAGCTAGAATGCCAGTACAGGATCTTCTTGCTCAGTCACAGACGCCTCAGCCTCAATCACAACAGATGTTTCCTCCAAGTTCTACAAACTCTAGACCGCCCTCTCCAATGGATCCATATGCTAAAATGGTGGGAACACCTAGGCCACCACCTGTTAACCAAAACTTTGTTAGAAGAAATACCATTACACCAGTGGATACCTGTCCTCCACCATCATCTGTATCCAGGCCCATTCAAGTAAGTGAACCAGCAGGAAGCAGGCCTTCACCAGCTAGAGATTCATGTTCTTCATCTCCAGTTAGCAATGACCCCTATGCAAAACCACCAGATACACCCAGACCTGTAATGGCAGCAGATCAGTTCCCCAAACCTTTGGGGGTACCAAGATCTCCCATAATTATGGAACAA